TTACAGCTATATAATGAATTACTTGTAATCACGATTACAAGTAATCAAAATTTTTGATTACATCAGAGTAGAGCAAAAATGTAATCGATTACATTTGCCAATTACAGTAATCAATTACTTGTAATCATGATCACAAAGTTTACAACTGTAATCGTGATTATAATGTTTGATTACTACTGTAATCATGATTACAATACTCAATTACAGTAATCAATTACTTGTAATCATGATTACAAATATTCATAATTTTGATTACTGCTGTAATAGTGATTATATAACCAATTACTGTAATCAATTATTTGTAATCGTGATTACAAGTAATCATAATATATGATTACATGTAATCTAAATACACGATTACAAGACTATCATATTCTTATAAATGATTATATTTTTCAGTAGATAGTATAATGTAACTTGCAATGATACATTTTGTACATATTTACATGTATTATATTTTATATGTATTTATATACCTACATTATGAATGTAACTAAAATGTATGTACATATGATTTTATATAGTGCATATCTACAGACATTTTAATTACACACACATGTACATACACTTATATAATAAGTATAAACTTTATGTACTTATGTATATAGCTAATAATTACGTATGTATGTGCAAACAATGTAAGACAAGTACATTTATACACAATGAATGCATGCATTTCATGCAAATATCTGTGTATGTAAAACGTATATCCATGTTCATGTACGCATGTATATACAAGTACTTGTTGTTTATACAAACATTGTCTGTACAATGTATGCCCCATGCATGCATGTACAATTTATTTATAAACAGTATAAAGTATAATATATGTATACATGCGCAATATAGGTATATATGTAGTATGTACAATATATGTCTGTATACATGTACACAATATGTTCATGTTTAATGTATGTATTCAAATATGCATAATACATTAGTGTACGATTGTACGTACATTGGGAGTATTTATATTTTACATACATTCGACATGCATATATTGTACAGATGTACATATATACATTCGATATGCATAAATGTACATACTCACATTTAAGATGTATATATTGTACAGATGTATATACATATAGTGTACAGATGCACATTCATCTAATGTACATATGATGTAATGAACATATAATGTACATATGTGCATAAATATCATCATCATAGTTGACCAGACAACCCAGTGTGAGCCAATGCCTTCTTCTAAAGATTTCTCCATGACGACTTCCGATTTATCTTTGATCTCCAATTTTTTCATTAATTGCGAGAAAATCAGACTCCACTGAGTCAGCCCATCTCAACTACGGCCTTCCCTGCTTTCGTTTTCCTCCGAAAACGTACAGAATAGAGTTAGGTAGTGTACAAGTATCATTTATAAAACAGCATTTTTCAAAAAATTTCTTGAGTATTACTTTTTTGATAAAAACATTTTTTTTAGCTATAACTATTAGATCAGAGAGCAAAAATACGTTATATTTAGAAACAAATTTCTGAGATAAATGAAATGAGTTCTAGAAGGACAACTTCTGATTAAAATTAACCCAAAACAAAAATATTAAAACATTAGAGTTTTAAAACCTTGTATTTAATTTTTTTCAGTATAGATATTACTAAAACTAATAAAATGTCATACACATTACCCTGCTCTAAAATCTTAATAGGAAAAATTATGATATATATATATATGTAACATAAAAAGCTTCTATTAATCTCTTTATGTTACCTAATTAATTATGCAAATCTAAATGCTTTCTCACACTTTTAAAAGCCACATCCTGTTCTTAAATCTATTTTTGGCTCAAGTATGCATAAATTTAAATAAAGACATTTTTCCTTTCAATCTTCACTTGACCTAGACTGCATCATTTTACATACATATTTATATATATTATATAAGACAAAATATATAATATATATATAAGCTGAAAAAAAGCAAATGAAGTATCATGTATTGTTCCTTCTTTTCAATGAAATTTGTAGGTAGAAGGCCATCGGTTTTCTCCCTCTTTATTATTGTTAAATTAATATTTTGTGTGTGTGTTTTGTTTAAAAAAGTATATTAGTTTTTGAACTTCTTTATTTGTGAGACTTTCTTGTTTTGCAAAAATAAGCGTGTAGCCACAGAGTTTCAAATTTAGTCCTCTCAATTTCCTTACTCATTTGTTTTTTCTTTTTCATGAAATTTTTTTTAAAAGAACACGCTGATTTTACGATTGGTGAATTGTTTAAGTTTGTATTAACATATTCATACAGGAAATACTCTCAGAACCTGTTTAGTCTAGCTTCTGTCACCAGTCAATTGCTAGCATAATGAATTTTACTAGCATAATGATTGCTAGCATAATGAAGTTTGAACAATATTTATTGTACATGCAAATAATGTATTATTGAGTCCAATACTTAATTTATTTCAAATAATTTATTTCTTAAATCATTTCAAAAACATTAAAACAATTAATTCTAATTTCAGTTTTAAGACATTTCATAAAACATTCTGATAAGAAGATATAACTTTTATTTTAGATAGTTTTAAGTTTTATCAAATGCAGAAAAAATTTGATCAAAAATTAATTTTTATAAAAAAATATTTATTTTGATAGTAAAATATGCAAGCTTTATCCTGAAAATATATAATACCAGGGGTCGGTCCAGGGCATATTTACTGTCGTTTAGCGGTACTTTCACAAAATCAATGTTTGGAAAATTGGTTGTTCCAGAAAACACTATTTAATACATTTTCGAAAAATATTTAAGTATTTTTTTATTTTACCATATTTTTGTGTTAAGTTTTTTAACATAATTTTTAAATTATGTCTAAATTTTTACAAAACAGGTACCTTTCAAAAAAACCTAGACAGACCGCTGACAACAGTTGTTAAATAAAGTTAGACAATGAGATTAATAACTAAAACAAAAATTCTTGTGAACTAATCATTTAAACATTATACGTATAAACTTACAATAAGTTAGTTAGTAGTATGAACAGAACAGTGAGCATAAAAATCCTTAACAGAGATAAACTCTAACACCCGTATTCACCATGGAAACTAACCCTCACGTTTTATGAGAGCAACTCCAGGTTAGATTCCAAAATTTCATTTCACCATGTAAGTAACTGCGTGTCAGTTGGACTCAGAGTTAACTTTAACCTGAAGATTTCCCTGGTTTGAGTAGCCACTGATGCGCAATAGGTGAATTTTTATTTATTTATATTTTCAAAATTAACACTTTTGATGTTCGGTTGCTCCTTTTATGTTCAGCGAGGTCAATTTATTATTAGATGTATCTATAATTAATTTATATGAAATAAATGCTTATTAATAAAAAATATTAAGTTTTCTTGATTTAATATATTCCATAGAAGATATTATAAATATTTCTCAAATTATTAATAGCAGTTGTTTCTGTACTTAAATTATTTTTCACACGGAAAAAAAAGATTGTGGATAATACAGATTGTGTCAATAATAATATCACAAGAATAGTGTAAGAAATTAAGATTCTAAATAATTTAATTAGCTTTTATTTATTTTTTTAAATGAAAAAAACAATCGATGCTTGAAAGAAGTATAAAAAAGAATACAAATCATGAAATTATTATAGATCTTGATGATATCTATCGAGATAATAGATCTTGCCCAAAAATAAAATATAGTTTAGAGATGAACAGGCAAAATAATTTGCAATATTTAGATATAAAGATAACGAATGGCATCTTAAATGTTTTTATCCATAAAATAAAACTATTAACAAAATTAAAAACATATACATTATTTTTAATACTATATATTAAAATTTATGCTGAAATAAATATTATGTAATTAATACAAATCTTGATCTGAGGTAACATTTAAACTACACAATAACCTGCATAAAATAACTAAGTAACCACTTAGAATTTTATAACCATAAAATAATCAGCTGAACATTTGGAAAAAATAGAATTGTTTGGGAGAGATTAATTGCTTAGTATAATATGAAGTTAAAATGCAGTCTTTAGTTAATATTTTTTTAAATATATGGCCTGGCTACTTTATGAACAGGGGTGCCACTCTAAAAAGATTTCAAGACATAACTTATTTTTTGACCAAATAATACTGTCTAGCGTTGTTTACAAAACTTTTAGAAATTATAGCTCATTGACACCAAAATTTACCTTTTCTTGGAAATAGCCTACATATTAAATCAATCATTTGATTACTTTTCCTAAGAATGTTTTTCTTTATTTTATGTTTTTCAAGCAAACAAAACGAAAATAACAGCTAACCTTGAATATTTATTTACAACTATTACTGAACAACCTGAAACCATTCATATCTCTATGTTTCACTTAACTGTTACTAATTTTTTGTTTATTTTGTTGTAATTTTAACTTTGGCCAGCATGACAATAGATTAGGGTAGAGGAAGCAAACTCAAGCAGATTTAGATTCAGTAATAGTATAAATTTAATTATACAAGTAGATGAAGTTCGATCAATCCCACTTGTCAAGAATTTAAGAATAAGAATTAGTGAAATCTGAGAAAAAGAAGATAAATAAAAGTTCTGACATCATTACCATATCATATGTTTTCATTAAGATATATATTTTTTATTTTGACCAAATTTTTTTTAAATTTTCTAATGAAAAATGATTCAGATTATGACATTTGCCTTTAAAAAAATCGTCATCTTATAAATCATATCCCATACAGTGATTTTCCCTAGCATTGGCACAGCACAATAATAGTCATTTATAACTTCTTCTGAATAAGAGGAAAGTGTTGATTTATGCTTATCTGAGTTGAGAAGTTCATTTTATAGGTACAATTTCATTTAAAGTGTTTAAAAAATGAAAATTCTTTTCAATGGTTTAAGTTATTGATAATATGTAATGAAGGGAAAAAAAAGTATTAAAAATGAGCGAATAAGGATGAGGAGGATGTTAGCATAATATCTTTGATCGTTGCTTGAAATAAAAGAATTAAATAATTGTGTGAAATAAAAGTATTTTGAATTGAATTTCAGTAATATTTCTATGTTTGTTTGCAGCTTTATGATATCCATAATAAAAAAATACCTAAATTCATAATAATAATACTAAGATCCTTTTGCTCATCAGTACAAGTCAGTTAGGAAACTGAACATCTTTTCCATTTGTCCAGTAAAAGAATGATTGAAATTTAATTACTCAATCAAATCTTTTTTTTTAATTCTTTCATAGAAATTTTTTTAAAAAAATAGCAATGAAAATTCAAACTGTTAATAGGGCAGTAAATCTACCACCATAGTGCAAGTTAACAGAAAGTTAAGAAATTTCCAGTTACGAAACAGACAGTTAAAAAATAATGAAGACACTTTTTGAATCGTGGTCGATATTTTCAAATCAACTGGAACTGGGTGTTTCGTGTTAGATCAACGGTGAGTACGGGGTTAAGAATTAACTACAAGAATCAGGTTTCTCTCTAGTATGAACAATGCTGTGTCTCTTCAGATGACTGTCGCGTGAAAAACTCTTATTACATATACTACACAGATAAGGTTTCTCACCAGTGTGTACACGACTGTGTCTCATCAGAAGACCTTTTTGTGTAAAACTCTTATTACATATACTACAAGAATAAGGTCTCTCACCAGTGTGAACACGGCAGTGTTCAGTCAGCTTACTTCTATGTGAAAAACTCTTATTACATATACTACAAGAATAACGCTTCTCTCCAGTGTGAACACGACTGTGTTCAGTCAGATTATCTTTTAATGAAAAACTTTCATTACATATACTACAGGAATAAGGTTTCTCTCCATTATAAACACAAAAGTGCGAAGTCAGATATCTTTTGAGTGAAAAATTCTTATTACATATACTACAAGAATAAGGTCTCTCGCCAGTGTGAACACGACTGTGTTTATTCAGATTACTATTTTGTGAGAAATTCTTACTACATATACTACAAGAATAAGGTTTCTCTCCAGTATGAACACGAAAGTGCAAAAGTAGATATTTTTTGCATGAAAAATTCTTATTACATATACAACAAGAATAAGGCTTTGCACTAGTATGAACACGACTACGCATAGTCAGATCACTCTTAGATGAAATGCCCTTATTACTACAAGAATCAGGTTTTTCATTAGTATGAACAATGCGGTGTCTCATCAAATGACTTTTGCGTGCATATTTCCTATTACATATACTACAAGAATAAGGTTTCTCCCCAGAGTGAACACGAAAGTGTTCTTTCAGACGACTTCCATGTAAAAAACTCATATCACACAAACTACATGAATAAGGTTTCTCCCCAGTGTGAACACGATTGTGTTCAGTTAGCTTACCTTTTTGTGAAAAACTCTTGTTACATAAACTACAAGAATATGGTTTCTCACCAGTATGAACATGATAGTGTTGAGTAAGACTACTTCGGTTTGAAAAACTCTTATTACATGTACTACAAGAAAAGGGTTTCTCCCCAGTTTGAACACTACCGTGTTTAATCATGTTACTAATATTTGAAAAACTCTTGTGACATATACTACAAGATTGAGGCTTCTCACCAGCATGAAAAGTACTATGCTTAATCAGATCACTCTTAAATAAGAAAAACTCTTATTACATATGCTACAAAAGAAAAGGTTTTTCACTGTATTCAGTCACATTATTTCTCATGAAAAACTCCTAATACATATATTACAAGAGTCAGATTTTTATCCAGCAAGAGTCCGATTGTGGTCAGCTTGATGACTTTTCTATGCAAAACTCTGCTTACACGTTTCACAAAAATAAGTTCTCGCACCAACTTGAATGGTCATCGCATACTTAGTAATATTAGTATTTGTTCTAAGTCTCATATATCACATTGTATAAAAATATGTGCCTTTACATAAAGTTGTAGTATATATTTAATGTTAAAATTGTCACTGAAATGTAATAATTACTAATGCTTCAAATGCTAAGTTTATCAGAACAATTCAACTAAATTATAATAAAAATTAATGTATATTCTATAAAAAAAAATATGATTTTCTTAATAATAAGAAAATAAGTTGAGACTGATTTTACTTCTAATATTGATATTGGAAAAAATAAAGAAAAAGCAATAGAAATATTTAAATTATTAATAATACTTAAAAATCAAAATAGGAGTATCATTTAAAATGTCTGAAAGTAATCTATTTTTTATTCTTGGTAAATGATCAAACCTGCTTAGATTATTTAGCGCAGCATTAAAAATAAATTTTAACCTTGTAATTATAGTTATATATATGTTTTGGCTACAATTGATTTACTGCGAAACAAAAAACTGACCTTAAGAAGCTAATAATATAAAGAATGTTTAATGATTTGGACAATACAATGATATAGACTAAATAAAGTTACATATTATAGGTTGATATTCTGATTATTTGACAAATATTTTATCATATGCACAGAGATACGAAAGTCTCAAATTAGTAAGGACAAAGAGTTTATTTAATATGCCTCAAAAAAATTTAGTTATCCTAACCTATTACTATTGTTAGTTGCTTAGCAGGCTAACAAAATAAATTTTTATGTTAGTCTAAACACTGCTCAAATAACATATTTCATGAGTAACAAACTTTTCACATAAACATTATTAGGAGACTTCTTGAGACTGTTCGCAAATGTAGACACTTTAACACAAACTGCCGAAATAACTTTCAAACTAAAGTTTCAAATGCCTAGTCACGAGTACAAGGAAATTCTAAATAATATTTGCAATGACAATGTCCATCTCTAGATTTATAATAAAGATTTCCTAATGTATAAAGATAATTGCGCCATATGAACAAGATCTGTAACAGGCAAACAGTTTACAGAAATTACGCTTTTGCATCATTTTTCTTCATTCATTGCCAATGTCATTTCGATAAACATTGTGTAAGTATCTTAGTGCAAACAAACTAAAATCAATGATTATATTTCACACATATTAAAGCAAGAATTGCTATATAACATGATACAGAAATTTTGAGCACTTTTTCCTGATTTGGATTTCCTAGCACATTTATATCTAAACTCGGATTGTTTAGATTGAATGATGGACGGCTACATGAGGGTAGTATAGTGAGATGAGTTCTTTGCTCTAGCTTATAGCTTTCTATTTTCATTAATACGGCTTTGGCTGAAGCTAGATGGCGCAGAGCATCTCTCCATATGCATCCTTTGGGTGCAGCTAGATTGTTGATCAAAACGGGCTACAGGTGGCGCAGAGCAGAACTCTCTACCTTTGGCCTCGCTTCGCCGCATGCTTTACAAGGGAAACTAGGGAAGTGTGACTCGCCAATTTTAAAATAAACTAGTGGGACGTATGCCTTATGAAGAATAATTTTAGGGGGCAACATTTGTTTCGGCCCATAGAAGGTCCTGTTAGAGATAAAAAATAATTCAATATATAGAAAAAATCGGTATTTTATTACTTCAATGCAGACGATTAGTTATTGTAATTATCTCATACTCCAATTAATGTTGTGGTACTTACTTTCACGTACTATCTAATGCAAATTTATTCTCATAATTGATTTTGAAAATTTTATATATCTGTAGTTTTTCAGAAAAACCTGTTAGGTTAATTTTAAAAAAAAATTGACATCAAATTTTGTTACTTTTTTTTTCAAAAATTTTCCAAATTAATTGGAGTATGTAATTGCAAATCAATCAATTAATATTTAATTAATTAATCTGCTAATTGATTTATTAATTAGAAAATTAATTAATTAACCAATTAATTACAAATTAATTGGTGTATGAGACAATTACAATAACTAATAGTCTGCATTGAAGTAATAAAATATCGATTTTTCTATAAATTGAATTATTTTTTATCTCTCACAGGACCTTCTATGGGCCGAAACGAATGTTGCCCCTTAAAATTATTCCTCATAAGGCAGACATCCCACTAGTTTATTTTAAAATTGGCGAGTCACACTTCCCTAGTTTCCCTTGTTAGCGTGTGGAGAGTCATAGAAACAGGAAGTACGTTAGTTTCTGTCTTCATTTTTAGTTATATTATAATCTTATCTTTTTTGGTTAGTAAGCTGTATGGAACTGAAAAATACATTAAATATAGTTCTAAAAGAAAGCGTCATACGTCTACACCTAAAATTTATGCGACAAATCATAAAATAAAACACTTTATTTAAAATCAGAGTAGTTAATCGGATTTCGGTGTAAAATGGGCCGATGTTTAACATAGATTAAAAACAATCTATATTTTCTTTCTCCTGATACTGCAGCCATATGAACTCTAATCAATAAGATTCCAAATGAAATTGCATTTCTAAAAACGTTTACCATAATAAAGTTTCATGTCATGAGAATTGGTGCATCTTCGTTTTTTTTTTATTTTATTTTTTTGGTAAAATATTTCGCTCCTGAAAAAATAAAATTGCATCTTGTTCTATTTTCGGCAAATCACAAAGACGAATTTTCGTAGCACTAAAAAATGGTGTCGATAATCGAAGAACATATCATTTTGGTATTCTCCGGATTTATAAAGCAGGTAAGTGTTATAATTTATAAAATAAAAAATTTTACTTGTAAATATTTTTTTTTCTTATTTGATGATAGTTTTCTATAAAATGGTTTTCTAAGTCCGATTATGAATAAAAAAAAAAAAAAAACTTAAAGCAATAAATATGAAAGCTTTTTATTTTAATGTGAGGAATTTTTAGAATTTTCTTTTTGCTTCGTAAGCATTCCTTATTTTACGTTTTTTAGTCTCTAAAGAATGATTTTTACTAAAACTTAAAATTTTTTGATAAAAATTGTTGTCAAAAAATATTTATTTTAAATTAAATTATATAAAATTATGAGGCTTATGTATACCTTTTGCTTATTTTAATGTTTGGAGCAATATGATTCTTAAAACTATGGAATGTAAAGTTTAAATAGGCCTTTCATGTTATATCATTAAATTTAGTACAACTATTTCTCAGGCATTAGGTTATAACAAAAAATTATTTTGTTATAACAGTTTGCATAACTAAAGTCAATGTACTTACTTTACATACAAGTATTTCATTGATTTTATTTTTAGAACACAAACATTAAATTTGCCTCAAAACTTATTTTACTTGGCAAAAAACAAATTCAGAATTTGAATATATTTTGTGTCTCTGCTTCTAACCATTTTTTTAATGGATATATAAAAAATACAGAAATTACATGAAACCGAGTAGGGGTTAGGTACCCGGGGCTTGAGCGGCTACCAGGCGCGACGGCAGGTGGTGGATAGCCGAATGTCCTGTAGCACTGATAGGATAGCCTCTGAATAACAAATAGGAGGTCGCGAACCAACTCCCGTAACCCAGGTGTTGCGCGACTCGTGCCTTGGATGAATGGCACTGCGGTTATAGTGTCTTAACGGAGCCTCTAGTTCGACTGGCGAACATCTAGAGTAATTGCCTTACACAGTAACTCAGGCAATGCTGGGCTGACTTTCTTTACCTGAGCTTTTTATTTGAGGTAATTTATGGCTGAAAATGACAAAAATACAACTCAAATTACTGAATCTGCAGGTGAAAATCCCAAAGTAGACCTTTCTGCAAAAGGAAAGGAAACTAGGGAAAAACCAACTGAAAGGGAAAAAATGAACCCTTCTTCAAAAGAGGTAGAAATGACCTCTACCCAGTCAACATCTCAAGTGGGGCAGGAAGCTATTAATAGCATGACTGCCTCCATGGGTGGGATCAAACTTAAAAAAGGCTGTCTGGTGCACAGAAAAAGAAACTTGCCAGAGAAAAGAATATGGCAGAAGGTACCTGGGTAGAAAAACCCAAACCAAAACAGAGAGGCGAGAAAAGACAAAGCCAAAGGATGGAACAAGATGTAGCCCCAAAAGCTGCCAGGAAAGAAGGACCTGAAGGTATAACCTTTAAGGAAGCTCTAATGGCAGTTAAAATGGCTGTGATTCTTGAGGGACATCCTCTTGAGCGTTTATCGAAAGAACAGGCCTTAGACCTTGAGTTCCTGATAACTGGAAAAATTTCAAGAAATGAAGAGGGTTTTGTCCCCACTTTTCTTTCTTGCAGACTAGAAAATGGGGAACTTATCATCAACTGTGCAGATCTGGGGAGCTCTAAGAGGCTGGAACAGACTGTAGTTGAGTTAAACCCATGGCAGGAGCAAACTCTCTTGGTAGGAGAGGCAAGGAAACTTGTCAGAACCACTAAGATCATTGCTAAACTGCCGAAAGTCTGTAGTAAACTGGAGCCCAAAGAGGTCCTGAGAAAGATTGAGGCACAAAATGGTTGGCTTACTCCAACCAAATGGAACATACTTCATCGGAAGAATGAACCATCATGACAGACCATCGTCCTTAGCGTGCCTGAACTGGATGCGGCTACACTTGGCAAAAGGGGATATAAATTTTATATCGGACTTTACCAAGTTCAAGCCAAAGTCCTGGACAAACCTTCCAAAAACGATGGGGGTGAAGGTTCTTCAAGCCAACATCCACCACAGTAGAAGTGGCACCACAAACCTCACCAAGAAATTTCTTGATGAGGATTTTCACCTGGCCCTGATCCAAGAACCTTGGCTTGTCAGGGGAAAAATCAGTGGCCTCAAAGGAACAAAAGGTAAGCTCATTTATAATCTTAATAGTGAAGCTAGAACATGTATCCTAATAGATAAAGATATTAAGGTTCTACCTCAAACAGATTTTATTCATAGGGATTTAACAGCAGTGAAAGTCAGACTCAACATAGAGGGAAGAGACCGAGAAATTGTTTTTTGCTCAGTCTACCTACCTTATGAAGAGAAGGCTCCACCTGATCAAACACTGCACAAACTCCTGCAGTTTTGTGCAGAAAACAGCTTGCAGGTAGTCTTAGGGCTAGACTGCAATGCTCACCATACTGTCTGGGCCAGCACAGACACAAATAAAAGAGGTGAGTGTCTTTTAGAATTTATTCTTAATTACAATTTAGATATTTTGAATAAAGGCAATGACCCTACTTTCATAACTTCTAATCGTTCTGAAGTAATTGACATTACTATAGCAACACAGGCTATTAGTAAAAATATCACGAAATGGAAAGCAGATGGGAGACCATCAGGTTCCGACCATCAAAACATCCATTTTGAATTAAACTCCAATATAAATATTGACCGCTGCTTCAGAGACCCCATAAGAACAAATTGGAAGAAATTCCAAGACGATATCGTGGGGGCTGACTGAACTGGGGGAAAATTATGTTAGAGATAATTATGATCTAGAAATTGCAGCAGAAACTCTGCAGAACGAAATTCTAGGTTCGTACAATAAAAATTACCCAATACGTACCAAAAGAGCAAAGCCCCAATGTCCTTGGTGGAATAACTCTTTGGAAACTGAAAGAGCAAACGCTAGAAAACTCTTTAATAAAACAAAGAAACATGGTGAGTGGGACAACTATAAAAGAGCCCTCACCAACTATAACAAAAATGTTAGGAAAAGCAAACAAGAATCCTGGAGAAAGTTCTGTGAAGAGGTAAATTCTATCTCTGAAGGAGCTAGACTCCAAAGAATCCTTAGAAGGGATGAACCCATAATGGTTGGCACCTTAAAGAATAAGGATGGCAACTTTGCTACCACTGGAAAAGAGATAATGGAAGTTATGGCCAAAACTCACTTTCCAGGAGCCATTGATATGGATAGCAATGAAGGACAGCATTTCATTAGATCTGTAAAAAGAATACAAAGAAATCAATGGACCTATGCTAAGAACATTATCAATCAAAACAATATCAGGTGGGCTATCTCCACCTTCAAACCACTTAAAAGCCCTGGACCTGATGGAATCATTCCTGTAATGATCCAAAAGGCAGGAGATCCTATCATCCCTGTGTTAACCAGAATTTACAGAGCCAGTCTGGCACTGGGACATATTCCAAAGCTATGGCAGAAGACCAGGATTGTTTACATTCCTAAACCTGGCAAAAGTAACTATGACCAGGCTAAGTCTTTGAGGCCAATCAGCTTATCTTCATTCTTTCTCAAAATTATGGAGAAAATTATTGATAGGCATATTAGGAATTACCTGGGTAGCAATAACCC